TTAGGCAAGTACCTACCAGCACAAGCCTTTGCTTCCATTACGACAAATCAAGTGAAGCTACGGGACGTAACTAGTTCTGTAAAGTAGTAATTAGTTTGTATATTTGTATAGTAAAATAAATAATTACGAGGAATACAGATAAAATATAATGTAATGATATTTTATCCAAGGAAATGTTTTTGTGACACCCCTTGCATATTTTTAGCGACTAAATATCGAGACAGCCTTGTAGGTATTTTGCGGTATAACAAAGGAGTTGACCCACTATTAGAATTTATTACACTAATGCTATACTAGAACAGCAATGTAATGAACTCTAAATCAGTGCTAGTACCTGCGCTTAAACGCGGTAAAAAAATTTAACATAACCTATGCATCAAAGGTCTGACGAACTAGCCACGAGGGTCAGTACTAGGCGCTTATTAAATCTGAATCGATTTTTTAATTTCCATTGTGATTTTTCATACACTGGTGTACACATAGATAATATACTATAAAGAGCACGGGGTGTACACGTAATATACTAATAATTAACACGCACAGCGGATGCTCTTTAGAAACGGCGACCCCACAAATGGGTCAAAAAAAGCGTGTAGGGGATCCTCCTGCAAAGGAATAAAAGTGCGGAGAAGTAATCGCGGAATCGAGGCAGTATTGCACAAGGGATAGGACAATGAAGCGAGGAGTCGACGTAGAAAAGCATATTTTCGATACTATATTTTTTAAATATATTTAAGGTTCCTATATCCTATCAAAACTCCAATGCTGAATAAAGGTCTTCCTCATAGATTAGGTACCTCAAAACTAGGTCAATGGCGACAAGATAATGTGGAAACAGGATCGGCTAATTCGGTGTTTTCAAACTTACAAATATAACAGGGAATGGATAAAATGAAAATAATAAATAAATTTCACAGACATAATTTATTGCTTTAACCAACTCTTAAAAACCATGCGATCATTATTTTACCATCATAAGTATGACTCGACAACATGATCACAGTAACGCGAGTACAAGTAGTGAACAACAAACAAAAGCGGACATGGTATAGGCAAATACATTCTGTTTCACTATCTTGTTATATGTACCATAATTTAAAAATGGTGTTTGCCAATACAAACACGATTTTTACATTTGACATTTGTCATTTGCACTTAGAGACATTTCTTGGCACAGTTTTACAAACTGAAAAACTAAGGACTGCTTTTTTGATATATTAATACATTTTTATTAAAACTGACTACCATAAAAATATAAACCCAATATTTGCGGTTGCACCTAAAAAGCTTAGCCATTTTTACAACTGAAAAAATAATAAAATAGTCCCCCTGTCCCCATTGTGGGTCGTGTATTGAAGATGAGGAGAACGCAGATGAACAGTGGCTAACTTTATGCTGATCTGACGAGAGGTCACCACATACAAGGCTAAGAGGTTGCCACACTCTTAAAATATGCACTTTGATGTGGAATCACAGAAAAATAACCTAAAATATATGAGACGTTGAGTACATCAACATGCATAGGGACAGAGCTGCAAACTATTTCTTGCTCCAATATCAATAATGATAGGTGACATAATATGCAAGTTACAGCCTTCTTTAGGCTCAAAGGCTAATGCAGTTTATGGAAACACAACAACTAACTTCATTAACTGTACACTGTTTTTTTGTAAATCTTTATATGCATACATATCACATCTAGAATACAAATTTGTACATTTTTTCATCCGATTTTTATTGAGTTAATTAAACGATAATAACATTTATAGTGGTACTTATTAATTATGTTAATAAATTTATTAATTATACTATGATTCTGTAGTTAGTTGTGTTTCATTCACATTTAGAAGTCTATCAATATCTGTAAGCCATGATATTAATCTATCTAAATAGTCACCATCTTGTTTGTAACTTAAAAGTAGAAGCTGTAAATGTTGAAAAGCCGTGGGCTGCTCCAGCAAGTAATGTAGCCCCTGATCCCTAAGGGATAATAATTTTATAAACACTATTGCAATCAAAGTCCACTGAATAGGCTTGAACATTATGTTATTTGCTTTTAATTTAAATGTATTCACAAGTAACCTTACATCTGAGCTTATTGTTAATGTAGATAAGTTTAGTGATCTTAGTAATTCAGGAAGAACTTTATTTAGATGCTCACAAACAATCCGTCTACGTAATGCGTTTTGTGCATTTTTATGCACTAGAGGCAGCTGAGTTGTGCTACCTTCTTCTGGGGGGGATTCTGGATTTATGCTCTCACTTTCAAGTATTTCTGTCTCACCAGAGAGAAAAGCTTTTACTTTCAATTTCATTTTCTTACTTTCCTCTTGTAACACAGTATAGTTAGGCAATGGCTTCATCTCCCGTTGCATAGTTTGAGCATCATACTTTCTATCTTCCAACTCTAACATATGTAGTTTACGACATAAAGCTTGGTATTGATCATATGTATTTGAATTGTAAAATATGCTCTGTGCATAATTATTTATATACTCTTTTATGTGTTCTCCCTTATTTGCAACCATTTCTTTAACTCTTTCTTCACCAAATATAAAAATCATGGTGTCAACTGTAAACCATTCTGCTAAACATTTCTCCACTTCTATTGCTATTGCAATGACTGATGGTTGCTTCCTCTGCAAAGGTTTCTTAAAAGATCTAGCCTCTTTAGTTATTTCTAATTTTTTAAGATTGTCTATGAGGATAGGATCTATTCTTTTTTCAGGTTTTTCTATTATTTCACCCACTATATTTAAAGAATTTGGTATTATTTTATGCTGTTTTGATTTGAGCTCTACCTTGTCTTTCACTTGACTGATTTCTTTACCAATAATTTCATTAAAATTATCATTACAGGTACTTGTACCTGATTTTATATTTTCCTCTTTAATTTTATCATCACTTTCACTACGTTCTGTTTGTATGTCCATTTGTTCACTCTTAGATTTAGCATCCTGATTATTTGTATGCGGTGTATGATTGGCAGAGGTTGCATTTTTATCATTACTGGTATGCCCTATATCGTGCAGACTTGCACTCGTAAAATCATTAATTGATGTAAATGTTGCTATTTCAGGCTTTATTTTTGCTGGTTCAATCAAAGCTAGGTCTACCTCTTGTCCTAGAATACCGACCGAATCCTGGGGCAGTAAATAAAATTGGGGAATTTCCTCATATTCTCTAAACCATAAGGGACTTGTCAACATTTGCTTTTTAACATGCATTGCAGATTTGTAACAACTATTGCTACAAAAACTTTTTCGGGTCGTTATATCGTATACCTTGTTAGTTTTTATCGATATGCGGTACTTTTGCTTTGGAATATCCTTTTCCAGTAATGTCTTTTGGCATAATGGGTAGCCACATAGGTGTATTATGCACCGCTCTTCTATGACATCCTCGAAGTGACATTGATTTATCTCTGGTAAGCACTGCAGAAAATACGTTTCCGTGATACCGTTCTCCAGTAAGCTTTCGACTATCTTTTGAGCTTTGGCGCTACATTCCTGTTTTTTAATAATAGCTTGACGAATTTGCTCTTTTGTCATTTCTTCAATCTTGGTCGGCTTTTTCCGTTGTTTTCTAAGAGTTTCTGCCATGTTATAAAAATATAATTCGTGGTATATATACTAAAACAATGTTATCGTATTATTTTACCAGTAATAAACACTAAATCAAAAACATACGCAGACATTAAATGTTTTGACAATGTCTTAATAACACAGACAGATCTTTTTTTTATAACTGGCTTTACGGTTCTGGGTTCTAGCCCTTCTGAGAGACATTAGATCGTGAACGAAGTGACCAAAGAGAATATAACCACTACGTTTAAGAGGCGGGACTTATTCAGTAAATGTAAGAAAAGGCGCCAATCTATACCACCAACTTCTAGACATGACATTTAATTTTTGTCAAACAACTCTGACAATACAGGTGAATTATAATAGTGCTATAAATGTCTATTGTCGAATAATTTTGTCTATATATGCGTGCCAAAACTATAAATATTCTAATTTGGTGTATGTAAACGGTCAACCTGTTTTAAGTGTATAAAACACATACTTGAGTGTCGTGGAACACTCGGCTGGAACGAAGTTCTTTTCGTAGTACCTATATTATTATTGATAAATGTATTATATTATTGATTAACAAATACAAATAAATGAACTACTATCGTTTAAAATAAAATAATATTACTTTCATGGTAAGATAAAAAGTGCGAGCGAGATGGATATTATTCCATCTCGATTCCTTATAGCCGTCAAGGCCGTCTACACTACGTCGTGACGGATAAATCTTAAACTTTATCGCCTAGGCCCCATCCGCAAATTCGTATTGTCCGATAAGGAACTTCGTTCTAATAAAAAATAAACTTTTAACCTCAGCTATCTGCCAGTGAAAGTCCCGTCAAAATCGGTCCAGCCATTTCGGAGAATAGCCGGAAGAAACAGACATACAAAAATTGTGTTTTTGTTAAAAGTACTGTGTATACTGCTGTTGTTAAGTGCCGTATATATTTAGTAAAAAGCAGTTATTGTGATTTTTGGCATTATAAACAGTCACTACAATTTTATTTTTTGTGTAGACATGTTCGTGGTTATATTGTTTAATTGTTTTTTTTTTCAAGGACAGCTCTTTAAATTCCTTACTTACTTACTTATCTTCACGCACAAAGTAGCCAGAGAGAACAGATCGCTAAGTGTCACGATCCTTACATACCTCTTTCGCTTCTTTCAGATTCATTATCTTCTTCATACATGCACGTATATCTTTAAATTCCGTTTTTCGTTTAGTAATGAATGCAGACCTTCATGCAATATAGGTGTTTTGTGTTATCTATATCAAATAATTACATCAATATAACCACAAATGAATTTATACATATATAACTCGACTTCATGTTTAGTGAGTTAAAACAAAAAGGTTTTATTTTCATCGTGGATTCGCACCCGATTTAGTCCTATTTTACACTTCTTTTACCTTTTGTTTTGTTTCAGGTATAACGAAAAACACCTAATATTTAGTTCAACAGGTGATAGAGACGCTGAGATTTTATTGAAACCTTTGACAGATGTAGTTTTTAAAATGGTACATTTTGTAATTCCAACTGCGTTTAAAGAAATGAGTCAAAAAAATGATAATTATTCTATTATTGAACATAGAGACTTGATTGCAAGATGTAACAAAAGTGCTGAAATTTGGAACAGGCTCCAAAAAATATCTAAAAACAATAAAGTAATGGTATTCGAATGTGTTTCGGATGCAATAAGTTATATTAAAGAAAGTGAAGAAAACAAATCAGTTTTGATTACAGGGTCTTTACATTTAGTTGGAGCATCACTTTCCATTATTAATTCTAATTTAAGTGAAGAATAGTTTTATTTAGATAGTATGTATATATGAATTGAATTTATTATTTTATCCTAATAAAGTGTTTTATTTTTACTTGTCATTCATTATTGGTAAAATGCAAAACTCTTTATTTTTTCTATAAATTTATGATTATGCAGTAGCAGCATGCAAGAAATGAAATCAAAATCTTATATTTTCCAATCGAACTTTTACTTCAATCGTATTGAAATAATTGTTTTGTGTATTTACATACTCTAGATAATGACAAAAATTTATTACAACGTAAGCGCTCAAATTTATTAATATTGCTTATCAAAAAAAAATTACCTCAGTCCCAATTAGCGACACCTGGTGAGTAGAAAGTTATTAGCCCTCATTGTATGATTTCATTACCAAAGAAAAGGAAAAAAATCTCCGTGGAATTCAAGAATGTCAGCAAGACAGATGACTACTTTATTATATGTTCGAAGGATGACTATGACTAGAGAAAATGACAACCGAGATGCTAGATTGAGGGGAATCTGGGGGAATCCCCCTAAATTACTTTTTTTTAGATTATGAGGGTTATTTGATGGGGGAAAACTGAGTTTGGAGGGAATTCGGAGATTTTTATCACCAAAACTGTAATCTGGAAAACGCGGTGATGATAAAAATATTTTCGAAAGCACACGAGCGAATGCACAATACTGCGTACGACGGTAGCCGGGTGGCTTCGAAGTTTCAAGTTAATAAATACTTATAATTATCTCGTAAACGCAACACACGGAGGAGTTCTCGGTTGAATAACTCGTTGATAAAACTTACGGATATCTTAGCAATTTTGTCGTAACCATTTTCTAATGCGGTTGTGGAAAGAGTCTTCTCCGAAGTAGGTTATTAAAGACAAGCTTCGGAACAGATTGGCCATCTAAATTGCCTAATCCATCTCGAGAATAAGATATACATTGCTCGAAGGATGGATTTTAAACCAAGTTCAATATTTCAAAGATGTTAAAGATTAATTTAGTTTAACTCAAAAAAAGTGTGCGGCACTATAGTCGTCGCAGTAATGTAGGCTATTGCTGAAATAGTATAAAATTGTATTTAATTAACAATAAATAAATATACTGCATTTTATGGGGGTTTTTTCTTCATATCCTGAATTTTGTGGGGATTTCGGGGATGATTCGAAGAGAACGCGAGGCGGTATCTGGAAACACTGAATGACAGTTGACATTTGACATTATGTCATTGTCGATTGACATTTGACAATTTCTGTTTCTAATGCAGAAACAGTGACAGATTCAGATCACTATTATGTTTATCTAATTATAGTTTTACTTCGGTGTGTACCCTGTGCTTACCTCTTGTCATTGAAATATTTTCTAATATAGTAGTTTCACAACTAAATTTTATAGAAAACTTTCTCTTCTTAAATTTTAATAGGATAAAATTACTGATGTGATTTTACAATCGCGTTTTGGCTGATGTATGTGTTATCATGTTTTATCAATTATTAGGCCTTTAGTATTTAATTAATTTATTTACATTTTCATTATTTATCTCTCTGATAACTATGCTGCTATCACATTGCATAGAAGGCAACATTTTGTGAACAGATTTAAGGCGGTGGGCTTATAAAGAGCTCATAAAGAAAAAGGGACGTTTTTATATAAAGGTAAGGCTATTTTTAATTCACTCGCTGTAATAAAAATACGAATGTCAATAATTTTATTGTCACTGCAACACTGGGCTTTTGTTTTGTTTTATAATCAACTTTTTATTAATTGTTATAAATTAATTAAATTAAGGATAATTTTCCAAAATTTTTAACAAACTTTTTATTAGAATGTAACTAGGGATTGTTTTTATTTAATTTATTTTTAAAGCAGCTTTCTGTATAATTTTATGTTATCTACTACTTCTTGTAATACTTTATTATCAAATATCCTGCTATGATACAATCTGTAGGGGAGACCTATGTTCAGCAGTGGACTTTTGATAGGCTGTAATTAATGAATCTAGAAAAAAAAATTATCAATTCCTGTTACTTACGGGACTTCTTCACCATCATTTATGAACAAGAAATTATATATTGGTATCTCTGAGGTAACTAACTCAAATGATTTGTTCTATGAATTTTAATCAATGTTGTGATTTTGTGTGTATAATTCATCTACTTTGGTGTTGCTTTTACTTCTATAACAACTTACTGTGTTCTATGGATGTTTCATAATATAAATTTCTTACTTAAAAGTAAATGTTAAGTTAAAGAATTTTTGGAGTATTTTTTTATAGGATAAGGGTGATGAACGAGCACACAGTCCACCTGATGGTAAGTGGTTGCTGTTGTCCATAGACATTTACATCTATCCCTGATTACAGATCAAAATGCAAATGCGTTGTCACCTGTGATGACTAAGATGAAATGCTTAAAAAATTATTATTATAAAAAATATTTATTACGCTTGTTGTTGTGTAGGTAATATGTATCTGTGTCTATGTTACCTAAAGATTTTATAGAGCAAGAGCTTTCAAATTTAGTGACCAGGTATGTCTGTTGTAAATCAGTTAGTCTTCAAGTTACTAAAACATATTATATCTGTTTAGCATCAGGAGAAAGTAAAACAAATTTGCTCTTTTAAATAATTATTTAACCTAGCGAGAATGTGGTACAAAATGATTACAGTGAGGATCTGGAGAGTCATGATGAGCCTGTATTTCATTTGAAGTTTTTAATTTCATTTGGTATGTTTAACAAAGGAAAGGAAGTAAACTTATGAATCAGTTTGAATGATTTTCTTAAAACAAAGCACCATAATGCGTATCAATGTTTAACTATTTTAATTATACGAAAAGTCCCATAAATAAATTGCTTTTGGACTGCATAATATATTCAAAAAAATCAATAATAATGAACTTTCTTATCAGCAATAAAGATTTTTTGTAAATATTTATAAGATCAATCATCCTTCATCTCAATATTAGTGATAAGTCAGTCTTATAATCTACTAATTATCTCCCACCATAGCATATTGTTGACAATGTGTTCATGAAAAATGTACTTACATTTTTCGCAAACATCAGCTGTCTTATGATTTTGGCATGGGGGCACTCTTGGAACCTTTTTCGTAAACCTTAGACTCTCACTTTCCCTAATTGTTTTTCTTTCTTGATTTAAAACTGGAAACTGTAGCTGGTCCCAAACGAATTGCCAGTATATCGGCCTCCTATTGTACTATGAAAGCTATATACTAAGGAGAACCGCATGCCAAACACCATTTTAACATAATCTAATCACTAATTTTCACTATCACATTTCCGTATTTGAACTCATAACTATATTACCAGAAAGAATATCATTACATAATTACATTTCTCAAAAAGTACAAAAAAGACACATTACAATAATAATTAAAACATTAATATAACTTAAAAGAATCGTAAAATAATTATCAGAATACAGCAATTTAAAAAATATTTTCAGTCATAAATCTTAAATATCTATAACACACATTCAAAACAATGGTCTTTATTAATAAACATGAATATCTTAAACAATACAATAGTTTAATTCATAAATCAAAAGTTTTAATAATCACCATATTCTTAATTTTATTATACAATTTTGTTCTTATTTTGCTATTCTATCCATAAAATTAAATGCTTTTAACATATTTCTTATCTTATTATACTATACAAAATTCATGAAATATTTATTTTCTAATCTGGTAGTACTATGGAGCCCGCCAATTTTAGACCAATTTCTTTACTACCAACATTTAGTAAAATTTTGGAAAAACTAATTTTAGATCAGATGTTAAGTTTCTTTAATATTAATAAATTGCTACATAGAAATCAATTCGGTTTTACAAGGGGTCGCTCTACAACTGACGCTGGAGTTGAGCTTATTAAACATATTTTTTGTGCATGGGAGAATTCAGAGGATGCTTTGGGTATATTTTGTGATCTTTCTAAGGACTTCGACTGTGTTCACCATGAGACATTAATCAGGAAGCTACAGTACTATGGTGTCAAGAACACAGCGCTTAAACTTATTATTTCATATTTAAGTAATAGAATCCAGAAAGTTATTATCAATGGTAAAAGTACTTCCGGGTCACCTGTTCTAAAGGGTGTCCCTCAGGGCTCCATTCTCGGCCCATTCCTATTTCTAGTGTATATTAATGACTTACCTTCTCTTGTAGGGGATAAGCATGATATAGTATTATTTGCTGATGATACTTCCTTGATTTTTAAACTTAAACGTCAATCATTTAAATGTGACGAAATGAATAATGCTATATCAAAATTAGTGCATTGGTTTAACGATTTTAAATCTGAGTACCAATGTGTTTTTAAATGGGGAAGATCTGAAACCTGTTGAATCCACTGTTTTTCTTGGCATCACTCTCGACGCAAAGCTTCAGTGGGGCTCCCATATGTCCAAACTAGCAAGCAGACTAAGTTGTAAAAAATATTAGAGGTCTCACTAGTGTCGAGACAGTTAGATTAGTTTATTTCAGTTATTTCCATAGCATAATGACTTATGGGATTTTGCTATGGGGAAATGCGGCTGATTCAGAAACTATTTTTGTTTTACAGAAGAGGGCCATTAGAGCTATTTACAACCTAAAACCAAGAGTCTCTTAGAGATAAATTTAAAGAAATAAATATATTAACTTTGGCCTCTCAGTTTATTTACGAAAATTTAATGTATGTTCATAAAAACAAAGGTAGTTTTAGTAAAAAAAAAGTGATATACATTCTGTAAACACTAGAAACAAACACAAGCTAGTGATACCAGTTTCTCGACTCCACAGTGTCAGTAATTCATTCTTGGGGCAATGTATACGCAATTACAAGGTCCCGGAAAGTGTACAGGCTCTCTCTATTACCAAGTTTAAATGTTTTGTTAAGTTGAAACTGTATAAAAAGGGTTATTATACTATAAATGAATACATGGTTGATAATAACCCCTGGGAATGAGGTGGTCGCTTCCAAGCTGTTTCTAAAATTAATTTTGTACTTATATACTTTGTACAAACATTAATGTAAAATATGCTTTTAAAAAAAAGTCCCACTGGATTTGTTGCTGGTTCTTCCCAGAATAGAAGTTTTTTTTCGAACCAGTGGTAAAGTAAAAAATGACTTTCAATTAGAATTACACATGTGATCTATATTGAATAAAATTTTTTTTATTTTATAAAATATTTTTTGGAAATATTCACTCGCGTCGCCAACACGTTTAGATTCCGAGATAGCGATACTCAAAAATCGAATACTAAAACCGAATCAGCACACCCCGTGACGATCTGTCCGATGTCGAAATGATTCATAACCATCCCCTGATGGAGATTTGCCATCCCAATACGTCGATCCAGATACGGACGAACCTCAACCGGGACCTTCCAAGAGGGTTAAATTAATTTAATTTTTTGATTTTGAATATTACTCAATTTCCTAACAAATCAACTTATTAACTTTTGTTTTACTTATCTTTTTTACTTCATTATTCGTAGCTTAGCTTAAACATCATCGTTCACACTTCTCATTTTCTATTTTAATATCCCATCATAATAGTGCAGGGCTTCGATAGTATAATCAGGGTCAAAATTCATTCAGAACGACGGAATTGCAAAAAATTGCGAAATTCGAAAAAAATGATAAACTTTGAAAGGCTTAATCTCGGAGACTATTGGGTCTACAGAGACAGTTCTAGTATCACTATACTATTTTTTTTTATTATACAATACTATACAGTTATTGTAGCAAATTTAGTCTACTTTAAAAACGTACCAAGAATGTTTTTCAAAAACTAGTCCTTTAGGGTTATAATCGCCAAAATTTGAAAAAACACCGATTTTTTCTCAGTTTTTTCGTTTTTTGACAAATTTGCGTTCGACGCTCGAGGACACAAACTTGGATTATTCATTGGGCCAAACATAATAAACAAGTCTGCAAAAAATCGAACTAGCGGATTTGACGCATGCTGTGATGTATAAAGTTATTGGACTACCAGTCAGTGAACTAAAGACGAAAATTCAGTCTTATTTTTACGACTTATTTTTATCCGTTTTGTACCAAAAAGAAAGAAAGAGCAACAAGTAAAATACTTGCTGCACTTAGTTAATTGTTTATTGAGACTATTATGTATACCGAATTTTATTTTGTACATAAGGGTTGCTTGCAAAGGCAAGCACAGCGCCCCCTCGAATCTTACGCCCTAGGCTCCAGCCTAGTTAGCCTGTGGGTAAGCAGCTGCAGCTGCGCGTGAGACGCTTACCGGAAAAGAGAAAGGCGCGTGTTCAGTTCTCTGTGTAATAGAGAAAGATAAATATATTCTCCCACCGAAAATTATTCCGGAGTTTGTAGCAGGCCACGTTTTCAATATACGAGTATATGTTTTATATTTCTCAACGTGCTCTACTGCATCAAACATTTATTAGTATTGATGACAGACGCACAGACGTTGATGACACGCCTATTGTGCCATCAGCCATGTGTAAAAATAATTATCTGTTTTATGCTTTTTTCATTTGTTTAGACCTAATTAAGTTTAGTTGACATCAAACATCAGTTACAAACGGAAGGATACTTGTTTTTAGTGGGTAACTACGTTTTTACTACGTGTTTTCTTTGAAATTGAGAGTAAGTGACTTTTTTAATGCAGAGATTACAAACATTTTCTACTATTTTTGTTTTATAAAAAAAATCATTTATATAAGTAGGTACAGCTAAATCACCCCGGAAAAACCTTGGTTTTTACTAAATTAAATTTTTACCTAATAATAATATTTGTAAATATCAAACAATCGAGAACCTTAATTTGGAAAAAAATAATGTTTATGATTCATTAATATTTACAAATGTTAAATATTATTTAATGTTATACAAATGTAAAAGTAAAGTCGATTTGAAAACGTCTAATTAGTAAGAATAGCAAAACAAGTGTTTTCAAAAAAAAACAAACGCCGGCGCTATACGGCGGCGGATTGACGAAAGACTATTTATTAGCAAACTTTGTTTATGCATGAACGGTTTCAAACTGTTTCAAGCAAAAATAAACCTTATACCATATCACAAGAGCACATGGTACTTCGTAGGTCTATTCGGCCATACGATAGTAATAAGACCATTTTAAACAATAAGACAAACGCATTGTTTTTTTAACAAGAGACTTGTCACAACTTGAGACAACTTGAGTTTGTGAGCGATCGCAATGAGTGCTATTATTTGTTACTTATTAGACTATTTTTCATACCCTTCGGCAAGTTGTACAGAAGTCCGAAGAGTACAATTTGCCACTATGTCTGGCGTATGTGGACTATGAGAAAGCCTTTGATTCCGTCGAAATTTGGGCGGTGCTGCAGTCCCTTCAGCGGTGCCAAGTTGACTTTCGGTATATCGAAGTGTTGAAGTGCTTGTACAGTAGGGCTACGATGGCTATCCGAGTACAGAACCAGAGTACGAAACCTATCCAATTGCAGAGAGGTGTAAGACAGGGTGACGTCATATCCCCGAAACTCTTCACCGCTGCATTGGAAGACGTTTTCAAGCTTCTGGACTGGAAAGGATACGGTATCAACATCAATGGCGAGTACATCACTCACCTTCGATTTGCCGACGATATAGTCCTTATGGCAGAATCGCTGGAGGACCTAAGCACTATGCTCAATGACCTCAATAGTGTTTCCCAACGGATAGGTCTTAAGATGAACATGGACAAAACAAAGATCATGTTTAATGTCCATGTCACACCTATGCCGGTAGTTCTTGGGAACACTAAGCTCGAAGTTGTTGACGAGTATGTTTACCTAGGACAAATAGTCCGACTAGGTAAGTCCAACTTCGACCGAGAGGTCAATCGACGGATTCAACTCGGCTGGGCAGCGTTCGGGAAGCTACGACACATCTTCTCGTCAGACATACCTCAAAACCTTAAAACGAAATTGTACAACCAGTGCGTGTTGCCAGTGATGACTTACGGAACTGAGACGTGGTCCTTCACTGCTGGCCGTATGAGGAAGCTCAAGGTCGCTCAGCGAGCTATGGAGAGGGCTATGCTCGGAGTTTCTCTGCGTGATAAACTTAGGAATGAGGATATCCGCAGTAGAACTAGAGTGACCGACATAGCCCAACGGATTAGTAAGCTGAAGTGGCAGTGGGCCGGCCATATAGCTCGAAGAACCGACAACCGATGGGGAAGAAAGGTTCTCGAGTGGCAGCCTCGTACCGGTAGGCGAAGTGTAGGGCGTCCCCCCACGAGATGGAGTGACGACCTGGTAAGACATGCAGGAAGTCGATGGATGCAGGTGGCTCAGGACCGTGCTTTGTGGCATTCTTTGGGGGAGGCCTATGTTCAGCAGTGGACTTGTGAAGGGCTGTAATGATGATGATGAGACTATTTTTCCACAACTTGATGGAAAACCCACAAAGTAAAAAGAGTACCATGTACAAGTTAAAAAAAAAGGTTGCCAACCCCTAAAAATTAAAATTGTCAAAATATCCAGAAACGAAGCTGCAGGCATGAACTACTTTTAAAATAATGAACATTTTGTTGTGGATAAATTTTCCAAAAACGCAATTTGAGCGAGTTATAACGATTTTTAAAAAGACACGACTCGTGTGTCATACGCCACACACAAAAGTAATCGATTAATTCGACCGCACTGAACCGGTTAATTTCGGATTTTTGTTATAGTCCAGGAAATGAAGCATTTTGGTTCGCAATTTTTTCGTCCACCATGGATTTACTTGAAATTTTCACAGAAGGTAAGGAATAGCTCAAGGATCATTGTCTAGATCAGCGGTTCTCAAACTTTTTTTGTCACAGAACCCTTTTGTCAAGCAAAACACTTGACGGAACCCTACAATAAAACAATAGTTTTTAGAAGTGTATTCTTTATTATATAAGCATAATAAAAGTACAATGTAACAGTTACTAATTATTACTTACTTTACCACATGGCAAGTACAATAATAGAAGATATTAAAAATGAAAAAATCTTAACTAATGTAGGTATGAAACTGTTTTTTATTTTTCATCAATTGGTTGATATCAGGTTTGATAGAAGACATTTGAAGTCTCATATCAGGTTCGGCGTCCAGTCTATTGCGATATTTTGTTTTCGTGGCTGCATAGGTTGAGAATCCTGTTTCGCACAAATATATTGTTGGGAACGGGAGAAGAATATTCAGAGCCATTCTGCCAAGCATTGGATATTCATCACGGATTTTGCACCAAAAATCGTTGAGAGGCGTCGTTTTGAACAGTGACTCCATACTTGTGTCTGATGACATTTCTAAAAGAGATTCATATATCTCGTTTGACATACTTTCGGCCTTTTTCAAGTTAGGTAAAAAAGGATTATGAATCCATGAATTCAGCTTCATTTTTGTATTCTGTTCTTCGGGAAAATACTTTTCAAAAGATGCGCGCATCGAAGTGAGATATTGGACCAATTATTCAAACACATCATATTGAAACATTTCTGAGTCGTTATCGCTAACAAACTCATTGAGTGACGTAAAGCTTTCTATTTCTCTCTTACCAACGCAAATAATCCAAAAATCTAATTTTCTTTTGAAGGTAGTTATTTTGCTATAGGCCTGGAACACTGTTGTCTGTTTACCTTGCAATGATAAATTCAATTCGTTCAGTTTTTGAAAGATATCCGCCATAAAAGACAATCGGAACAACGAAGTTTTATCATACAAACGGTCTTTCAAATTAAAAGAAACTGTATCTGCTGAAAGAAACATTTGTAACTCGGCTCTAAGTTCAAATAGCCTTGTTAAAGTTTTACCCCGAGACAGCCATCGCACTTCTGTATGGAGCAGCAGTGTTTTATGTTTGCTGCCATAATCTTCACACAATAATGAGAACAATCGGGATTGTAGTGGTCGTGATTTGATAAAATTAATTGTTTTTACCACTTCATCCATAACTAATTTTAGATTTGACGGCATTTGCTTCATCGCAAGTACTTGTTTATGCAGAATACTATGGCTGGAACTACAATTAGGCGCTTTACTTTTTATTCGTGATACTGCTCCTGCTGTTTTACCAGTCATCGCCTTGGCCCCATCTGTACAAATGTCAATACAATCATTCCAACTAAGATTATTTTCTTTAAAAAATATGTTTATTTTATTAAAAATTTCTTCCCCGGTAGTGTTTGTGGGCAGCGGTGAACACATAAGCATGTCTTCTTCAAAATAACGTTCATATGGATATCTCACGATATCCAGCAAGATAGCCAGACCAGTGACATCAGTTGACTCATCCATTTGCAAGGCGAATCGTGTTTTTTGTAGACGTGCAACTAGTTCTTGTTTGACGTAGCTTGCCAGATCATGGATTCGCCGTGAAACAGTATTGTTTGATAGCGGTACAGTCGAAAGATGCTTTGCAGATTTTTCATCGAGTATACATTTTGTTATGTCTAACACACATGGCTTTATTAAATTTTCAGCGATAGTGTGCGCTTCACCTGCTTGTGCAATGCGATAGCTAACTAAATATGATGCCTCCGTGGCCTTTTCATCGATAGTTTGTGTTACATGCATCATATTTTTTTGACTTTCCAACAACTGATCTTTTTTACGAACTAAAAATTCTTTATTCTTGTCTTTAGACTCGGGGTGTACAGTTTCTAAATGTCTGCGCAATTTGGCAGGTGCCATGGAACTATTAGGAAGCAGTTTACTACATAACATGCAGAGAGGTGAGCCGTTGGAATCAACAAATCCGAAACTGATATATGATTCATCATACTTCCTTTTTTCGTCTTTGAAACCGTGGAGCTTGACGTCGTGGCATCATCGTCTGGATCGGTAATTGCTGTATACTCCGCGCGTACTGCCTTTGAACATTCAGCGTGATTAGAAGATGTTGTTGCAACACGTTTAACGCCTTTAAGCCAACGTTCCATTCTTCTTTATTAATAATGTTACACGTCAGGATGGTGGGGTCAAAATAATGCACAATCGTTACTGCGTTTATGAGACAAAGTTTAGTGATTTAGTCCAAATAAGAAATGTACAAAACTTATACAATCAGAATACAGCAGGCAGTCGAACAATGAACAATAGTTTCATATCACGTTTAAACTCCGCAATTCGCTAGTCAGCTTGTAAGTAGTTAGATACGAAAGAAACGATATAGTACTAAATTGTAGCTGTTTTAATGACAAAAATTACCCTGTGTGCAGATTTTTTGTACAATGAATATTCGGCGAGATATAGCCGTTTAACACCTACATTTACGATCGAACATCACCTTATTCAAGCGCTTTAAACTCTCCCCATTTAAAAATTAAGGGATCTTTAGTAATTTAATTCACATAGTCTTATAGCTAAAATCGTATCTGAAAAAAAAATTCTATCACCTAAAATGAAGGAGCTGTGCTTAAAAAACCGATCAATTTTTTTTCGAAAAACTCGAATTACCCGCTTCGGAGCGTAGTAATCCACATAACCGGTATATTCGGCCGTTATACGTTATATGTTCCACTTTTTCGATTCTTATTGGAAGACAGAGAAGAAGAACTTCCACTTTTTTTTACGTGGTAGAGCCATGCTGCAGCTATATTAGCAGTATAGTTGTAGCACGAATGGGTCGGCTCGACCGGGAAAGGACCACGCTCTCACAGAAAACCAGCGTAAAATAGCAGCTTAACGCTGCTGTGTTTCGTATGGTGAGTGTAGAGAACCGGAGACCTTTTACTGGCAAAGAGGTGTTCCATCTTTGTCCTCACGGGTAACAACGCATCTACATCTTGAGTCTTTATTGAAGATAGATGTAGATGTCTATGGGTCACAGTAACCACTTACCATCAGGTGGACTGTGTGCGCGTTTGTCACCATATCCTATATAAAAAAAAAACATTTGCTCACGTGTATGCGTGCGTGAGTGTATATTTCGTTGATTTCTCACCAGTGTATTCTAAAGTTCGAAGACAGTAGCACGTGCTCTGACAATTTCAATGTTTTCAAAGGTAGTTTTTAACAAGGGTAGGTTGAAAGATTATGAAATTGTATCCTAAAGCATGAAACAATCATTATTTAACTATTTTTACCCATATTTAGGTTTTTAATGTTATTTTATAATTTTTGAAAATAAGGGGTAGTTTTCAGCCCCTAAGAAGCAAAAAGCGTACAACGGCACAATATAGAAAATGAACTAGAGGGTGAAATAAGCCTAATCCCAAATTTTTGTACAAATCGGTGCTGGACGAAAAAATTGCGAGGTTTTATTCATTTGTATTAGCATTTGTTTAGCTTAATTTCCTGCACTATTAGCGCGATTTAGGTTTCGATATGTTCCGCTTGTGGCGCGACGACATTGTGTTGAAAGTTTACAATAAAACAATCAATGAAAAAGTGTTTTTATGTGGTGAAAAATGAAAAATTCGTGATTTTGATGAACATTTTTTTTAAATTTTTATTTGAAAATTCAATTCCGTAAAGAAAGTGGCTTTAAATATTTCTCTTTCTTTTACTATGTATCGGAGGTTGTTTACATTTAGAGCGATCAATAATCTGTCTAAAAGATAACCTTATTGTACCAATCTATAAAGTTTATATCGTGAAGATTTTAGGAGACACAGGAGAATAAACAGTTAATATATAATAAAATATGTATTTAGATATTTGTCTGTCACAAAAATAAGAAATTACTGAATTCTTGTCCTGCCGACGAATCATTACTTAAACAAAATGCAACATAACAAACAAAAATATTACATTTCATAAAGTAACATCAAAAGATATGTTTTTTTATAGAATAAGGGTAACAAATGAGCACACAGTCCACCTGATGGTAAGTGGTTGCTGTGACCCATAGACATCTACATTTATCCTCAACAAAGAATCAAAATGCAGATGCGTCGTTATCCGTGAGGACTAAGATGGTATGCCTCTTATCCAGTAAAATGGGTCTCCGGTTCTCTACACTCACCATACGTAACACAGCAGTGTTAAGCTGCTATGTTACGTTGGTATTCTGTGAGAGCGTGGGCCTTCCCCGGTCGAGCCGACACATTCGTGCTACAACTATACTACTAATATAGCTTCATAATGGCTCTATCACGTACAAAATTATATATTGTTAAATATTTTAAAACTTTTGATATTAAGAAAACCCCAGATCTGTGGGGGATTACCGTTAAAGTTATTGCGTCTATAATAGATACAATCGCACCTCAACTAGTTCAAATGTGGGTTATCTTTTTGATTTAATAATATCGGAAAACTACAGACCAATTTTATAGACTATTTATAGCTTAATCAATTCAATTGCATATTGTAAAATTGATAAGATATACAGAAATACGCAGACATTTTACACGTGACGGCGACTGTAAGGATCCAGCGTTTCATTTCGTCCCATAAATATCTATAAACTAGCTGTTCCTTCGCCCGAGTGTAATTTAGAGTTTTAATTATGTTGCGCGGTACAGTTATTCTTTTTTCTAAAATATAAGTAGCCTAAATTACTCCTTATAACATCAGTTAGCTACCAGTGAGTCCCGTCGAAATCGGTCCAACCGTTTCGGAGATTAGCCGGAACAAACAGACAGACAGACAGAAATTTTAAAAATTGTGTTTTTGTTATAAGTACCGTACATACTTTCATATGCATTTAGTAAAAAGCTGTTATTTTGACGTTACAAACAAACACTTTAATATTACATATTTGTATAGATATAGATGAATAGAAGATTAGTATTCTTCATTCACCAAGGATTTGTCATTTTGGGGTTTTGATATCGGACGGATGACATATTAATATCATCGTCATCATCATCACCACCACATCATTACAGCCCTTCACAGGTTCACTGCTGAACATAGGCCTCCCCCGACTCCCGGGGAACAGATCACAGATTGGTAGAATTTATAAATGTACACGTTAGTGTTGAGGAACTATTCCTCGTTTAAGATACAAGTTAATGATACCTATGTAATGTATAAGATATAGTAGCTCATGCATCTCGGGAATCGAGTCTCGACGATATTTGTCTTTGTCTGGTATAGATACCGGTACAATAATACAAATGAAAATTAACAATGATAGGTAATATTCATTAATAGGTACGTATAACAGTGTAAGTCTAAATTAGATTATTTAACATGTCGGTTTTACGTTTCCATTATCTCTTATACCTAACAGACATACGTTGTAACACAGCTAGAACATACGATATTTATTTTTATAGTTGGCGATAAAACAACCTCGCTTAATACGCAAACCCGCCTGCCAAGCATGACATCTATGGCAAATATGTCCTTTATGAGGCAATCTAAGGGAGACCTATGTTCAGCAGAAGGGTTTAATAGGCAATAATAGACAGATAGATATATGCATGAATATTTACCTGATGGTAAGTGGATACTGTGGCCCATAGACATCTACATTTTAACCTCGATTAAGAATCAGAATGTTGATGCGTTGTCACCCCTGAGGATTAAGGCGGAATGCCTCGTATCCAGTACAAAGGGTCGCCGGTTCTCTCTACACTCACGATACGAAATACAGCAGAATTGAGCTGCTCTTTCACGCTGGTATTCTGTGAGAGCTTGGTCCTATCCCGGTTGCGCCGACCCATTCGTGCTACAACCAAAATATAGCTACAGTGTGGCTCTACCTAAATTAAAATTATTTTTGTATATCAGATTAGTAAGCCCTTCATTCCTTCATTAACCCTACGCAAAAACAAATGAAAACTCAAAAGACACTAGGTTTTTTAAATTAAAGTGGTGGTTTTTTTTTATAGGATAGGATGACAAACGAGCACACAGTCCACCTGATGGTAAGTGGTTGCTGTGACCCATAGATATCTACATTTATCCTCAATCAAGAATCAAAATGCAGATGCGTCGTTACCCGTGAGGACTAAGATGGAATGCCTCTTTTCCAGTAAAATGGGTCTCCGGTTCTCTACACTCACCGTACGAAACACAGCAGTGTCGAGCTGCTATTTTACGCTGGTATCCTGTGAGAGCGTGATCCTTCCCCGGTCGAGCCGACTCATTCGTGCTACAACTATACTACTAATATAGCTGCAGCATGGCTCTACCACGTATAAAAATCTGAATCTGAAATCTGATCTGAATCTGAAAAATCTGTTGGTCGAACAGACGTGAAAACTCAGAATCTCCTTTAATACCCTAGTGTGCTAGCGACCCGAGATAAATCTTCAACGGCTGCATATTTCAGTTGCAACTTTTACCTAATTTCACGTGCGCTCGAAGTCAAATTCAAAATATTCGAAATACTTTTTTTATATTTAATCTTAGTTCTCAGTGGTGAAACGCATCTGCATTTTGATTCATATTTTATGTAGGATTATGTCAGAACACAAAAAGAAATGTTGTTTTTTGTGTTCTGTGATGATGAAGATCGATAATGATAGGATAGTAAAGATTGTAGGTGTCTGGGTCACAGCACTGCTATCGTAACCATCAGGTAGACGGTATGCTCATTTCTCAAAGAAGTGTTTCTTTAAAATATGTGTAGTGTTGTCATCTGCTTTACGTTACGTTTTATCTACTGGCCGTATGAG